AACACTGCACTGAGAGAGAGGGGTTCATACAGACACACTGACTTCCTGTCTGTCTCCCTCTCAGGTTTGGGCGGCTGAAGGCCTTCTTGTCCTCCTTGTCCTTGTCAGTGCTGTTCGGGCTGCTGGTGTGTCTCTCCCCCTCCCCTTCCATCTTCATCCTCACGCGCTTCTTCCTCGCCGCCGCCACGGCCGGAGTCTACCTCACTCTGTACATCACCCGTGAGTGACGGGGTCGGGGGGCAGAGGGCGGGGCGGGCAGAGGGACAGACAGGGCTCCTCCGAGCTGACCGCCTCTGTGCTTGACCCACAGGTGTGGAGCTGTGCGACCCGTCGCTGCGGCTGATGGTCACCATGGCAGCGGGCCTGGTGATGGTTGCCGGGGAGTTCCTGCTGCTGGGCGTGGCTGTGGGCTGCCAGTCCTGGAGGGGCCTGCAGGGGGCGATCACGGCCCCGCTGGCTCTGTTCCTGAGCTACGGGTGAGAGTCGGGTTCGGGCTATGTGGGTTGTGTGAGATGGGCTGGGTGTGGGGATAGACCAGGCTGAGGTGTGTTGGGTTCGGCTGGGCTGGGTGTGGGGCTGGGCCGGGCTGTGGTGTGTTGTGTTCGGCTGGGCTGTGCTGGATGTGGGGCTGTGCCAGGCTGGGGTGTGTTGGGATCTGTGGGGCTGGGTGTGGGGGGCTGGACTGGGCTGGGGTGTGTTGGGTTCAGTTGAGGTGTGATGGGTTCTGTGAGGCTGGACTGGGCTGGGGTGTGTTGGGTTTAGCTGGGGTGTGTTGGGTTCTGTGAGGCTGGACTGGGCTGGGGTGTGTTGGGTTAGGGTGGGGTGTGTTGGGTTCTGTGGGGCTGGACTAGGCTGGGGTATATTGGGTTCGGCTGGGCTGGGCTGGGTGTGTGGCTGGGCCGGGCTGGGGTGTGTTGGGTTCGGATGGACTGGGCTGGGGTGTGTTGGGTTCGGCTGGGCTGGGCTGGGTGTGGGGCTGGACGGGGCTGGACTGGACTGGGCTGGGGTG